ACAGCCTCAACAATCTTTTATACCTGCACAATCTATATCCCTTATAACCAATACTCCCAATACTACCTTACAAACTTTTTGTACTAAATTTAAATTATGGTATACTAACTAGTTCAAATCTCGCATACACCCCTCACATATTCTTAACTTATCCCAAATAGAGTTCCGCATGGGCTTGGGCTATCCATGGATATCCATGGATATGTCTAGCATGGGTCGGGCTTGAACATTGTTATGGGCTTTTGGATCGGGCCTGGGCTTGACAAAATTGGATCCAATATAATTGGATTGAGCCCAAGGCATTTATGTTCAGATCCAATAGCCCACGGATATATCCATCGAGATTAGTGATGCGGTAAAATCATCCCAATAATTGCTATAATGCATAAGCTTTACCAAGCTATATCCTATATCCGAGATAAGCTATATTTAAGTTTCTGTAATACTGTAATATGCACAAAATAGTCATTATTAAGTATACATATGTACATACATACACATTATTTCTTGGCGTATTTACATTATTTCTATAGAATGATATTTTTAGATTTTCCACACCTATTATAATTGCCGTCCAAGCTGTTTGGGACAGTCCAAACTATGTGATAATTAGCATCACATAAGGTTAAAACTAGGTTAATACCAGGTTAAAACTATAGGTGATGCTAATCATTACATGGTTTGGACCGTCTGAACAGCGTACATAAAAAAAAAAACTTGTAACTTGAAACTTATAAAGGTATAGTCTAAAATTAATCTTGATTACATAAATTTATAGAAAGTTTTACCTCATCAAGTATAAAAATATTAAACATCTTAAACATAACATCTTAAACATACATAAATTTTAATCTTAAATTTTAAACATCTTAATTAAATTTTAAACATCTTAAATTTTAAACATAAATTTTAAACATCTTAAATTTTAAATATCTTAAATTTTAACCATTTTTCCTTAAATTTTAAACATCTTAAATTGATGGAAAAAAAATTGTCGGAATTCTATTTTTTAAGAAAATAACCTGTTATACCAAACGACAGTACGATTACACCCACAATCACTATAACTTCCAGAACTATAAATACTAGTGCAACCGCTACTGCCATACCCGCAAATGCTTGATTCTTTAATAAAGTATATATGTTTTTTTTTATGAGTTTGAGAATTATAATATCATATATTAGTACCGAAGTTAGGGAGTACTTCGTCCAATTACAAACTTTAGTTCACAATAGATGGTGTAATCACTATTAATTAAAATACCAACCAATAATCTTGAGTTCCTGATGTATCAATCACATGAAATCAAATATATATATATATACGCGCGTATATGTCGTTTTATACAATTTATCTTTATCAGAAATTGACGCACTTCCCATTAACTACGGTATTTTAAATAAAAGTCAAGGTTAGTAAATCTTAGTAACATATATAATAGTTTGTAGCTTAATAATAATTGCCAGAATACTTATTTTTTTAAGCATAAAATTTTTTTTATTAGCGTTTTTGATTCATATTTAGAAAATTTTGATAACAACGTAAAATGGAAGTTGATACAGATTTAGTTACACCAAGTGATTCGGTATCGAACTATGAAGCAAACTACGAGGCAAGCTAGGAAGCAAACTATGAAGCAAGCTATGAATCAAGCCAAGAAGCAAGTCATGAAGCAAACTATATGGCAAACCATGAGGCTAACTATGAGGCTAACCATGAGACAAACTATGAGGCAAATGATAAGACAAATCATGATACTAATGACGAGGCTTCAGTAACTACTACTAGTGGGTCTAGAATTAATAATAGAAAGTTGTTGTCGCCTGTTTGGAAACATTTTACATTGATAGCTTCAGATGAGCCTAATAAAGACAAAGCAAAATGTAATTATTGCAAGAAAGAATTTTCTCAAAAACAATCGTCAGGTACTACACATTTACATCGCTATCTAAAGTCTTTTATTAAGTATAAGAAAGCCTTGGGATCTTCAAATTCAAATTCTAAAAATACTAGAGGTCAAACACAGCTTACTTTTAATCAATCTACAAATTGGGTTTATTCTCAAGAAAAAAGTAGAATGGACTTAGTGAATATGATTATCGGAGATGAATTAAGTTTTCAATTTTTAGAGCACTCTGGATTTTTAACTTTTGTTAAAGGATTACGACCTAATTTTAAAGTTTGCAGTGCTGATACTATTAGACGTGATACTTTAAAACTATATCAAGACAAAAAAACGTCTATTAGAAATATTCTTTAAAATGTTTTGGGTCAAATATCATTAACAACAGATGTTTGGACATCACAACAACAACTTAGTTATAGTTCTGTAACGGTACATTTTATAGATAAAGATTGGAAGCTTTTTAGCTTTCTTATGTCATTTAGGTTAATACGCTTTCCTCATACTGGAGTCAATATAGCCAGTTCAATTAAGTCCAGTACGGATGATTTTTTAATCACAATGAAGGTATTATATTTTATCTTGCTATACAGTATAATATTTAATTTTATTAAAATTAAAAAAAACTTAACTATAATATATTTTAAAGCTACAGACTATAACACTTGATAACGCTTCCTCCAATAATGTAGCTATTAATGAACTTGCCGATTAGCTTACCTCTCTTTCAGTTGATGTGGATATTGAACTTTTTCAAAATCGTTGCTTAGCTCATATCATCAATCTGATTGTTCAAAATGGTATAAAAAAAATTAAACACATTATTAATAAAGTAAGTAATATATATTATGTAAAAAAGATAATATTAGTGTAGAATAATATAAAAAAAATATATATATATAAAATTTATTTATTTTTTTATAGGTTCGAGATTGCATTAAAGCACTTCATACTTCACCAAAATGCTGTCAAGCCTTTATTGACGCTTGTAATTATGAGGATATTGGTGTATTGATACCTCCACTTGATTGTGTTACAAGGTGGAACTCCATGTTCCTTATGTTGGATTCTGCAATTAAAGTTAAAAAAGCATTGTTAAGGCTTAAAAATAGAGACCGTCTCTTTCCAGATCCACCATCTGAGGATGAATGGGAACAAGCAAGTGCAATTCGTGATGGGCTTATGATTTTTTATGAATGTAATTATAAATTTTAAATTTACCAAAATTTTCAAAATAACGGGCATGGGCTTATTTCGAATTTTGGCCCGAATTAAGCTTAATTCGGGCCAAAATTCGAAATAATGCCCATGCTCTTATTTCGAGAATTTATGGGTATATATGATTTTTTAAAAAAATTTTTCTAAAAGAATATGATCCTGACTAAATCAACAAATAATATAGCTAATGCTAATTAATTTTATCGGGATTATATTTTTTTAGGAAATAATGTATTAGATTGAGTTATAACATTACTTTTTAATATTAAATTATTTAATAAAGATACAAATCAAATATCTGCAAGTTCTTATGTAACACTTAATAATGCGATTATGATAATTTCTAAAATCAAAATGCATTTACAAAAAATGCAATATGATTCCAATGCATTTATTTGCGAATTTGCCAACATGATGAGAGAAAATTTTGATAAATATTGGAAAGATACTAGCATTTTATACGTAATTGCATGTATACTTGATCCTTGCTATAAGTTACAATGGTTCAAATATTATTACGAACAGAAAGAGAAATTATCACAAGAGGAGGTTGAAAGAATCGTAACAGATTTACAATTAGGTAATTATAGGGTTTAATTTAAATCACAAAATTATAAAATATATTATTTAAAATATTAAATTTTAATTTTGATTATCAAATATTAAATTATTGTTTTTTAATTTATAGATTTGAAGAAACTTATATTAGGTTTTATTACGACTATTCATTTACCGATATTTCTGCTGAAAATGATTCAACAAATTCTGATTATCAGTCTGATGATGATTATTATCAATACGTATCTAAGCAAACTTGTACTAGTACCAATAATAATTTATGTGAACTTCAACAGTATTTAAATGAACCAACGACTTCAAAGGATACAAAAGCACTCGATTGGTGGAAATTAAATTGTAATCAGTTTCCAAATTTATCTAAAATGGCACGAGATTTTTTAGCTATACCAGCTACAAGTGTGCCTTCAGAACATATTTTTAGTTTAGCTGGCAGAATTGTAGATGATAATCGTACTAACTTAGATCCAAATACTGTAGAGGCATTAGTATGTTTACGAAATTGGCTCTCTAATCAATTTTTATTAGAGAATTAGAGGTTTTTTTTGTTATATATTTGAATAGTTTTATTTTAATATATAATAAATATATTTTTGAGATTAAATCGTTCTTAATAAAATATATTTTGAAGTTAAATCATTCTTAATAATTCATCAAAGTTTTTATATACTTATATAATAGTTTTCTAATAAAATCGGTTAAATTAAATTAATTCTAAATTTGTATATTATCATTATTTGCAAATTTTGTAGATTATAACTCTTAAATTATTATTTTGTCTTTATATAATTGGTACACTTTAGGCCCATGGGCCGAGCTTGGATAGTATATTTGATCGTTGGGCTGGGCTTGGATTTATATAATAAAGACATTGGGCTGGATTTAGATATAAATAATCCGCTCATATTTTATTGGGCTGAACTTGGACTCTACTGCTATCCAGCCCAGCCCAGCCCATGCGGAACTCTACTTATTACAAAGAGGTTGGTTTTCAAATTTGAAGAATCTTGAATGTCTCCCTGTAAAAAATTATATCCGAATATTTCCATTATTTTTCCATATTTTTGTAAAAACTGTGAATCTCTATGATTTAAGGTTATAAATTCCGTGAATATGCAATATTTACAGAAAAAACATGGAATATAAACACGGATCGACTTTTTTTATAGAGTTTTTATGAGGATGAAAGTGAAACATAGTTGTGTTTTAAAAATTTTCATAAGCTATTTAAAAGAATAGTAAGATGATCAATGGGACTTTGACTCTTACAGAAAATATAGATTTAATACTAGAAAGAAGATTAAAATTAAATTTCATATTTCTTCTTCTTGTGGATGAAAATTGTCGATTATCATATTTAACAAAAAGTTGGATTGCCTTTCACAAACATTTTTAAGATAAATTTTTTGACTAGAATTTTTGTATTCTTTATTTAAATCAAAGGTACATGGTTATTGGTAGAATGGTTTATTTTCTTCTGAATTTATGATAGTGTGTGATTGTTAAGTTATTTTATTTTATTTTTTTACCTCTAGTGATTAAGTTTTTTAGATAACTTGCAAATATGGTCGAACTTTTCAATATACATCTATATGAATCTTTTTGGTTAATATTAATATACTGTAAAATCCATAAAATAAGCACCTACTGTGAATTAGCACCCCATATAATAAAATTTATATTCAGTAAATAAGCACCCTATATATAAATTGATTGACCAAAATTAGCTAATACAATGTCATGTACGTACTGAACGTATGTACCAAATATGTACATAATTATCCCTAACAGCCTTTATAATAGCAGGTTGAATAGTCTGCTCCAAGCCTTTTCTAAACTAATAGTTAGTCATAGCAGTATTGGTTGAGGTGCTTACTACCTCATTTATTATGGTTTAGAATTTGTTACTAATTTGCTTTTTATCTTGATTTTGTGGGCTTTTTTCAAAGCAAAATTAGAAATAATTAGCATCTTGATTTTTTATGTTTTGTCCCAGATTATTTGAAAAGTTCGACCATATTTGCAAGTTATCACAAAACTGATTTCAACCATGGATACAAATCTCTCAGAATATCAACTGGAATGCAACCTGGCTCTATATTAACAACAATCAAAAAGTTTTAAACTTTGCTCATAGTTTTTAGTCTTCTACACTTAAGATATTTAGAATTAAATTACTTACTGATGAATTACCCACACCTCATACTCTTCATAAAAGAAATTACCTTTATTCTTATATTTGCCACATCTGTCAACAAACAAGTTCGATACTACACTGGACAATTTGTCCCAACTTTAACCTTTTGTTCGATCTAATACAAAATTCACTACAACTTACTATTACTTCTAGCAAGCTTCAAAACTCTTTAAGCAACACTAATTAACTACACTCTTTAATTCTTAACTTGGACAGTCTTCAAACATATCAATTACCAGATAAACCTTCTATGGCTAAAACCCACCAAAGACATTATACTCTCACACATATGATTAATCTGATTTTTTGTATTTTTATCTCTAATCACTAATTAGTATTTACATGTCTGCTATATTACTTATATAATTTACTAACTTAATTCCCAAATCAGTATGTGTTTCTCCAAGTAGGTGCTTTTTGCTTCTGGTTTGGTATGCCTGACAGAGAATTCTTTTAATTCCTACTGGTGTACTTTTTAGGAGTTCATATCTCAAGCTATGCAGCTATCTCTACCCAATTAGATAAGTATCCTAAGTCTGCATATTGCTATAACTAGCTAGATTTCTTGTAACTTTGAAACCCAGATCTTAATGTTGAGAATTCAGTGATATATGGATGACTGTATTTCCCAATATGGTGACAAGAAGTTCAGACATGTTTTGTATATGCTTCCAGTATCAAGTATAGTTAGGTGGCATTATGAGATCTAGGGGTTCTTAACAGGTGTATTATTGTTTTCTATTTATAGTGATTCTTAATAGTTGTAGCCCCTGGTTACTACTGTATGCACTTTTACTAGCTATTTTGATATTGGTAAGTCCCAAGTTCTCTGAATATCTGAAGACCCCCATATGAGTATAACTATTATCTGTTGGGTCTATTTATATATACATGCCTCTATGCTTTAACTTCTTATTGGCTAGAGAGATCCATACAATACCAGAAGTGTTTCAATTTGGTAAGACCAATTCTTTACCATAAATCTCTTTGTGTTTTGCCACTTTTCTCACCATTTCAATTCTAGTAACCACCTAGACATCCTTTCAGCCAAGATTTCCAGTGCTGCCTTAGAGATCGTTGGTGCTATCTATGCTAATTAAGGATTTATATGTACAACTATTGTGTTATAGAATCTTCTGTAACAACTGTTGTTATACATAGTGCCAACTCTCCACAATGAACCTCTTTTTAGAAATTTTTAATTCAAACTTGTACTCGCTTAGACTTTTTATATGTAAATATATTTAAATATTTATAAAATCTGTATCTACTAGGGCTTGAAACTGAAATCTGCTTGTAGAGAGTTGGGTGCCTAGACCACTAGACCGCAGAATCCCAACCCCAATATTTAAAATTATAATAATTATAACAATTAAAAAAAATAGTGTATGCTTATAGATTTTAGCTAAAAAACCTAATTATTATATTAATTAACTAAAAAAAATAATATATTAGTTAAATAATAATCAACTAATATAAAAATAATAATAGATACAAACATATAATATTTGGTTGCTTTGCTTTAAACAATTAGTCTATTTGATAATTTGTATAATTATTTTTAAATTTATTAGCACAATTATTCTATTCAAAATTGTTATGTTTTTGTTTTTCTTAATTACAAATATAATTATTTTATTTAAATATAATAATTATATAATTTATTTATTATTTTTTTTTTTTAATGTTTAAGGTGAAACCATGCTCTTATCTTTGTTAGTCTAAATGAAAACTTTTTACATTATTGGAAAAGGTTTTATAACTTAAGCCTAGTACTAAGAATAAGAACTCAGACATATTA